ATTCCAGACCTGGGACAGAAGCGGCTGGCTGTGAGACCCGATCAGCCTGCCTGCCTCGCTTTCCCCGCCGGGCAGCCTGGAGGCCGAGTACGTGCAGAGACCCTCGGGGACACCTGGACAGCCTTGCTCCTGGGCACCTATGCGTGAGCCATCAGCCCAGAAGTGTGAGGAGCAGCTTAGTCCCAGGTGGGAGGTCTGGGTGGGGTGGGGGCACTCCGGGAGACTGGGGTCAGAGACCAGAAGAAGGGTGTTCCGGGAGGGACCAGCAAGGTGTCCGCCTGGAGGCGGGGGCAGGAAGCTGGGGCCCAGGGCAGGAGCGGGCCGGCCAGGGGGGCTCACCTCCACATAGCTGGCGTTGCTGCATGCCTCTGCAAAAATGCCTGGGGCCACATCGGGGGCCAGGTCGCTCTCGTCCAGACCGGCTGGGCCGCCGTCTGTCTCCAGCAGGGTCAAGAGGTGCTGGGCTGGGTGCAGACAGGGGCTCTCTGACCTGGGCCAGAGCCCTCTGGCTTGGGGGACCCAAGGACCAGCCTTCCCCCTCTGCTCTCAGCGTCCCCACCTCCCTGCCTTGTTGAACTCCTACACACACTGAAAGCCCCAGCTCCCGTGCCCTGAGTTCCCTCAGCCCGGCCCTGCCGCCGCGGACCTGGGGGCGTCCGTGTCTGCTGCTGGCTGTCCCCGTCCAGGGCTGAGACCCTCTGGGCCCCAGGCACTGCCCAGCTCACGAATGCCACACGCTGGCCACGCTCCTGAGGCCCAGACCCCACCAGGCACCCCACCCTGCTCACTGTTCTCCAGGCGCTGAAGGCTCTTCCGCCCCTTGGCTTTGGGCACGAGGTCCGAGTTCCGCACAGCCTGGTTGATAAAGCGCTGCCTCCTCCTGGAGGCCGAGAGCCTCTTCGTCTGCGGGCTGGCCAGAGCGGGCAGGCAGCCCGGGAGGGGCCTGGGGGGAGGCGCGGTCCTCAGGGCCAGTGCAGCCCCAGGCAGAGCCCTCCTCAGCCATGAACCCCTAAATCCTCATCCTGCTGGCCATGGGCCGGCAAGGTCCCAGGTTCCCATCCTGGGCCTGCCTCCGCACACCAGGCGGGCAAGCGAGCACGCCCCTGTGGCCTGGGCCGGCATGGGGTGGGTGGAGGCCTGGAGCCGGAACAGGACTGCCCGTGTCCCTCTGCCCGCTCATGGAAAAGCTAAGTAAATAAACCTAGAAACAGGTCTGTCCTTGCCTGCCCGGGAAGGTGAGGCGGTGACAGTGTGACAGGAGTCAGCAGACCCCCTCGCCAGCAGGCTCTGGCCCGGTCACAAGCCCCCACCTCCCAGACGGAAGCTGGAGCCCCGGCCGAGGCTTTGGGGCTGGAGCCCTGGGCGGCCCTGGAAGTTGGATTTACCGAGCAGCCCTCACTGGGCGCAGGTGAGCAAGGCGCTAATTGTAGAAGCCGATTACACACGGCTCAGGCTGGCCTCCTGCTGGGGACCGCGATGGCTACTCAGCAGGCACCCAGAGCAGGCGTGGGCTCCAGAACAGAACTTTCCGGCAAGGAGAAACTGCACAGGCGTCTGGCCCGCCCCGAGGACCCCAAACCTCCCCACGCCCAGCTCCCCCGACACTGTCCCAAGCACACGGAGGGCCCCCCCACCCAAGTCCCGCCCTGCTCCCTCCCCACGGTGCACCCAGCTCTCTAACAGCCCGACCCCTCCTCGCTCCCCACTTGGACTTCCAGGTCACCAGGTGCACTTCGTGGTGACAGAGTCTGGTGGCCGGGCCCCCCACGGTGCCAGAGCACCCAGAGCGCCATCCACTCCTGACCCCAGCACCGGAAAGTCTGGAGAACCCCGAGAGGCCTGGGACAGTGGAAACCAGGCGAAGGCGTGGGGCCATGCCCAGGGCTGCCCCTGAAGTCCCTCGAGCCCTGGGGTACGCATGGGGCAGGTCACCACGCACCGAGCCGACAGCCCTCCGCGAGGCTGGCCACGGGGGTCCCTCAGTCCACAGTGGGGCTGGTGGAGGCTGGGTGCGCCGTGGTGCCAAGGCCCAGCTGGGGGAGACACCCGCCTGCCGGCCCCTTTCCGGTCCCGGCCACGGGGACAGATGAGGTAAGTGCTTTCCTCTGGCTACGTGGTGTGTGTGCTGGCGGCACAGACGTAGCGAGGGACAGTGGGAAGTCAGTCCCCGGGGGTGGCCACACTGCCGTCCCTCCTCCTGGGGCTCCGGGGACGCACGCGCACGCCTGGGGTGACTTCCAAGCCGCCAGGTCTGGGACTTGCACTGTGCGGCTGGGTAGAAGCCAGTGCCTCACGCACCAGGCTGCTGTCGGGCCCAGGGCCACCCCGGGCTGGCGTCCCCTCAGGGCCGGCCATGCTGACCCCTGCTCCGTCACCCAGCAGATGGCACCAGTCATCTCGACAGTCGTCACGGTGCAGTCACTGTCCCAAGCCCCACGGCAGGGACTGGACGCAGCACACGGGCGGCAGCCCAGCCTGGCACCGTGGTGCACCCGGAATGTGCGCGGCACAGCGGAGATCCAGGCCCGCCTGCTCCGCGGCGCCACCT